GGAGACGACGGCTTCTCTTCCCGTGTCTGGACGCAGCCCTGGGGTGCTGAGGCCTCTCTTCCCATCTCTGGACACGCAGCCCCGGAAGACCATGGCTTCTCTTCCCATGTCTGGATGCAGTCCCAGGGTGCCACGGCCTCTCTTCCCATCTCTGGCTTCTGCAATTTCCCTGTCTTTAAGCTTCCTGTTCTTACTAGATTTTCACTTGCGTTTTTAATTTCAAGTTCTCCTAGTTCTCTGGGGCTCCTTTCAGCGGCACCTGCTCTGCTTCTGGTTAGGGGCTGCTTCAGGCCCCTCCAGGATGCCAGGACGATTCCCAACACTCCCGTCTCTTCCAAGAACACTGCTGCATCCCCTGGGGCGGTTTTCTGTGTATTTACCGTGTCCTTTCTCTGCCTGGGCTGTATGTTCTGGGTGGGGAGCAGGGAGTCCGTCTCCCGCCAGGGACCACGCCGGCCCCACCCCGACCAGGGGCGGCCCACTGATTTGCATTTTATACAAACCTGTCCAGGCAGTCTGGGATTACTGCAATTTTAGAAAAACTCTGTTTTGCCTTAGTTTTCCAATTTGTTGGCAAATCTTGTTTTAGTATGACTTACGATTTTCCAAGTTTACTATGTGCCTCTTTTTCCATTCCATACGTGTCTATCTTTAATACACACCCAGCTTCCCAATGAGAAAACTGTACCTAACAGGGCACTGTCAAAACCGGGCTGGTACCACGTGACTCCTCAAGTGTACACCGTGGCCTTACACATCCGTGTGATGTGCTCACGTGCAGATTCTGGCACACTGGCCCAATGGCGGCTCCCCACCCGCACCCTGGCAATGGTTTCCGTCACGCTGATGTCTCCACCTGAGGATGAAGACATCAGATAGCACGCAGCCCTTGAAACCATCTCTTCACTCGCCATCACGCTGCCGAGATCACCCTGCCTGTTGCTGAGGACGCCAAGGGAGGTGACCAGCATCTGCCTGGCCACTGACCTGCCAAAGGGCAGCCGGGGGCGTCCCGGTTTGGGCTATCATGAGTTAAAGCTGCCAGAGAGCATGACGTGCAGGTCTGCCCACGGACGTGCATTCCAAGCCTCTGCGATTAAGGAGTGTGGCCGCTGGGCTGCATTACAGGCGAGCATCTAACCGCGTAAGAAACCAGGAAACACGCCAATCTTTAGCACCACATTCCCTTTGGAAATGCTTCTGCTGTTATCACTTCCAGCCCCTCCCCTCTCTTGCCCAGAAGCGTCTGTGAGGGTGGCTTCTCATCTCACCCTCCTGTCCGCACTGCACGGCTGGCTGCTAAACCCGCCCCGCTGTTCTCCCATACAGCTTCGGTGTTTCTCAGATCCACGACTCACTTTCTCCTCTGAGGCGCTACGCCCTGTTTTAGGGTCAGCAGCTCCTCGTCTGTGTCTGGCCCGGCCTCCTCCTGAGGGCTGTGCTGGGGTCACCGTGCTGTGGTCATCTCAGGGAGCTCTGGTGGACCCGCACCGCCTTTCCTGGCTTTTCCATCTGATGGACCCCGTGCCAAGCAATGATTTGTAGAAATGAACTGAGGCCTAGGCTGATGCTATGTTCCACTGAAGGGGCTGTCCCATTTCTTCCTGCCAGGCACCTGGTGCCAGGCAGTGTGGGGTCCCCTAAAATCCAGGCTCAAGTTTCCCCAGATGTTGGCAGGCTGGATGCCCACTGTGTAGCACGTCAGAGTCCAGGTCACCCTCACTGCAGGTGTCACCATCCAGGCCATGGATATCCCAGCAGGCCCCACACCCTGCAGGCCAGTGATGCCGCCAAAGACAAATTCAACCCCTCAGCCACTTCTTCGAGAAGAGCCAACACCCCAGGCCAGAAGTGGCAGGACCCGTCTGTTCCTGCAGATTCTGGGCTTGTCTGGATTGCAGCCTGGGCAACTGTAGTCTGTCCTGTTAGTTCCTGAGGACCCAGCTCCTTTGTCTGTCTTCAGGGAAAAGCTGCTCTGAATCACTGGCCCCGGCTACAAGTAAAAGCAGACCGACCCATTTCTCATCACGGAGGAGCCTGTGGATCTCCTGAGCAAACATGACTCAGGAAAGCTGCCCGAAGGCTGCCCACTGCTGGACCACAGCCGGGTCCTGGGCAATGCCAAGACCACCCATGCCTTTGCAAAGACCGCTGTGCGCCTGGGGCCAGGGGAAGCAATTCACTCTGGCCTCGCAACAAAGGCAGCGTCCTGAGGACCTGCTCTCTGGGAGAAAACTGAAAATGAATCCAGAAGCTACAGGCGAAACCCTGTGTCCATCTCCTAATGGGGCAGGGCGAAAGGGACAGAGGCCGCACCTGTCCCAGTGGCATCCAGACCTGCTGCAGCCCATGCTCCCATCCCTCCCCACTCCCCTCCAGCATGCGGCCCTGGCAGCCCCAGGACAGTACGTGGTAGTACCTTCTCGTGGATCTCCTGCGTGGACTGAGCGTCACAGAAGGCCACAGTGGCCACGTCCTTCAGGATAGGCATCTCCACCGTGCAGTCCCGGCCATCCAGCAGTGCCACCAGGGGCCGCGGGTGCAGGGGCCCGTTCATGATCGGAGGTCGGACACCTGTAAGACAGAAGTGCTCAGTCTTGCACCACCACGGCCCCGTGGCCACAACCTGCTCTACGCCGCCCACTGTGCACGGGCCGTTGAGGGCTTTCCATTCTAAATGTTGTGGTATTTGTAAAAAGTGAATTAAAAATCCACAGGAAAGACAGATTTGTGTGTGCCTCAGCTCGCTGACACCCACCACTGCCCTCAGGCTCAGGGGCTCCCGACCGCCAAGGCCCTCTGAGACCCCTCCAAGACCTGTCTGAGACTCCCCAGGACCCCCCCCCCATACCCTCCGAGATCCCCTGAGACCCCAGTGCAGCTGCATAAGGCGGGGGGGACAGGAGGGACCCGTGACACTGGAGAGCACAGATTGCAGCACGGGGCTTTAGTAACACAGCTGCCCTTTTCCGCCTGGGCTACCGCGTGGCTGCTGGAATCCCCGATGGGGTCACCAATATTTCACACAGAACGCTCCACTCTCTGCCTGGCATTGCTTCCATTTGTAAATTTGAAGAGACAAGAAACAGAGCAATAGAAGAAAAGGGTTAAAACCTATTAAAGTCCACTGTGCCCCTACCTTCCAGGAATGAGCTGCTTAAAAACCACTAACACCCATTCCTTTCACGTATGACACAACTAAGCTTCATTCGGGGCCACATGGAGAAACAGGGGCTCTGAGGTGTCACAGAAGCACGGCAGCTTCCAGGCACCACCCAACCACCCTGTGCCAGGAAGGGGGCACCGGGTGGCGCCACCGTCAGCCCCATGGCAGCTGGGAAAAGGCAGAGCTGGAGCCAGGGTCTGGCCAGTCCACCCCCTAGACTGACCCCAGGAGACCAAGCAGCCCCCAGGACCATTTGGTCAGCAGGGGAGGAGACACAGGACAGAACCAAGAAGCGGAGTGACCCAGTAAAGTCCTCAGTGGCCGCAGCCACAAGCACGCTCAGCCCAGTCTCCCACCCCGTCCACCAGCAGGTAAGCAGAGGCCACCGAGCCGCCAGGGCCGAGAATGCACTGCAAACACGGCTCTTGGAGCCCACTGCAGAGAAAAGAAACACCCTGGTGGACAGCCCAGGGGTGCAGTGGGCCTGCAGCAGGTGCCTGCAGGGGACAGGGCACGGGTCTCCAGTGACCACCCCAAAGCCAAGGGCTCCCAGTGCAGCTGGGCCCAGGCTCCTCCCTCCAAGTCCTCGCACCCCAGTGTCCTCAGAGGAGCCAATGGCCATTCTACCCACTTGTCTTCAAGACAGGAAGGGTGCCAGGACCTGCCCAAACCCCAAATACGGGGTGTGCACAATCAAAACCACATCCTGGTTCGCCTGTTACTCATTCCGTCTGGACAGAAGCTGCCCACACATCCCCCTCCTGCAGCCCCCCCAGTGACAC